GAGACTCGCCCGAACAAAAATTTGATTGACTCGATTTTGCCAAGATGCTTAACGTTTAAAACCGATATTGATGAGGAAATGTATTCCAAGCTCGGATAAAGGATCCGTAATCAGGAGAAAGGGCGTGGCATCTGAGTCACCCTGTGTACCGACGCCCACGTCGTTTGCTCGCGATGGCGAAAGTGAAAAATATCTCGCGCAGCGGCGGCAGCAGCAACACGTACGGGCGCGTGCCCGTGTACGTGCAGTATATACGTGAAATTGCGTGTACACACGCGGCGTACGTGCACGCATACGGACGCTAGCGCGTTATTAGATCTCTCGGGGTATAGCGAGCCGAGATATCGGCGGGTATATGCCAGCTGGCGCTGATCTGGTCGTTAACCTCGCACGCGGATCATTTTTGGAGCACCGTTAACACCGGACTTTCCTCAGAAAACTTCGGTCTTTTACGCGCGCGGGGCGGAATTTGTCGTAAATCACGATGCGCGCGCGCACGGGCGCGCCTTTGCGCTCGTTGCACGCCGAACGTGCGTCTGCAGCGGACTTCGCGTTCAGATTCGGAGTATCGAGATTTATCGCACTTTCCGTCACGATGCGCGTGATGAATGCAATTGCGAGCCACCCTCCTTTCTTCCCGCCCCACCCGTGCGAAATGGAATCGATGTCGCAAAATGGACATTCCTGTGTAACGTGAAATGGTACTTCAATCGACTACGAAGTTAAAAAACAAAGGCAAGATAACAGATATCTATATTTAAAAAAAACGACATAATAATTCTTTCTCGTTTTTCCTCATAAAAAATGATTCGTATTTTCGCTCTTTATTACGAATAAATTCCTCCATAATCTCGTTACATTCGATAGTAGACCCATTCGAGATCCCATGGTATTCTCCATGGCGACCTGTCGTTCGCGCTATTGATGCACGAGACGCGACGGCATGGAACGGGAATCGACCGAAAATCGCGCGCGGGCCGCATTGTGAGTAGGCGTCACGTGAATCCAATATTTCCTGTTCCACCGACCTGCTCCATCTGCATTTTCCCCTCTCTCTCTCTCTTTCTCTCTCTTTCCCTCTCTCTCTTTCTCATTCTCCCTCGTTCTCTTCCAATATCTCGCCCGTCTGCTCCGTCGTCTCCGCTTTTAAGAACCTCGCCACGGGAGGATCTCGTTATACTCGTACCGGATTTCATATTCGGAAGGTGTTGGGTTTCTGACCCAGAACCCTCCCCCTCACGGGTCCCCGCCGGTGGCAGACTCCGTTGAAGGCAATTCTGCATGGGCCCTGCAGCACTTCGAGATTCGGGCCTTTTATTCCGACCAGTTTCTCGGGGCTGCGCCCGTCAACTTCGCTCAATACCGTATTTTGACAGCGGAGGACACGTCGCACCGCAGAATTTCGCGGTTGGTTTCGCGCCACGCATCCGCTCGTTTTATTCGCTCGTAATTCATTTTCATATTCACCTCATGAGCGCGTTCTCTACTTTTGTTTCGAATATTCCAGCTATGAAGTAACATGTATAAAATATTCTTCGAATATTATTACACGTTGTTTCGTAGCTAGTTACTAAATAGAATTTTGCTGACATCTGTATTTTGCAACCGACTCGATGTTGAAAATAATGAAATGCAAAATGAAGAAAAATTGTGGATTACTTTGGAAAATCCCATAAACTTATGAAATATGTAGAGAGAAACTGCGTGTTACGTATAGGTTTTCTTTTTTTCTATTTTTTTTTTGCAGATTTATGCTGGTTTACATATTAATGTTACATATATCTTTAATAAATATTTAAATAGATAAATAAAATTGTAACTCGTTAATTTAATACTACTCGTAACAATCGCTAAACCATTGTATTAAAGCATTATTTTTTGTAGGGTCTTTTCGGATTTCTTCAAAGAGATCGCACGGTTGTCCCTTCCTCATTGTCTTTAAACGTCTTATTCTCACCCTTATTATCCTTGTTCTATTATTCGGCGAACCTCTACTCGTCAACGTGGCTCAATGTCGTATTTTGACAGTGCAGAATACCGTGGCGTGTGAAATTTCTCCGGCTGCACTCGGCAGGATTTTTCTTTTATACGCCTATTCGGCCCTTTCAAGGGGAGTAAAAATTCCTTTAGAATTATTGCGTCTCCAGACAGTAGTTACGCAAGCTGGAGACTGTACCACAGCGATAGCTTCTTTCAAACAGTTTGATGTATTCAGGTTATCGTACTTCTTGAGTTCCGGAATAGCCTTTTTACTTGCCATTTACCTGCTTTTTTTTCCTTGCTTCGCTCATTTCGATCTTTAATGTTCCCTTCTTTGCGCTCAAGAAAGTGTCTCAAATGTTCTTACACTAATCGTTGGAATCGTCGCAATCTGATGAACGTAGTTTAAAACATTTCTTAAACAGAATTTTTGAAGCACTCTTAATGCGCGCGACTAATCCTAATTTTATTTCAAAAATAAGGCATTGAAAATTGTTTTTGCCTTTTAAGCTTATTAAAATTGATTAAGTTTTAAAAATTCTATTCCATTAGAAACTAAATAATTATTTCAATTTCAATGAACACTTTACGAAATTCTTTCCTACTTTAATGCGGCGCACTATTTTCTCTTGTCAAGTTAACAAGAAAATCGTGTATTAAGATATAAAAGATTCAGTCGCGCCTTCTTCAAAAAAACACCAAAGAGATCCTAGATCTTTATCTGCGTACCCGCACAGATCGGCCAAATTCAACGGTGGTCGAAAAATTCTTTCTGCTTCTTATCTTACGGCCATCGCGGCTTGGTGAAAATGGCAATAATTCCGTATACGATTCAACGGATACGATCGGTAGTCGGTGGACGCGGTGGGACAGTAGGTGCAAGTTGTGTGAAAAAAAGCCTATAGTTCCGTACAATCCCTCCGTGACAATTGTGCCTGGCAGCAGTTGCAAGGGTCGACGCCTTTACTGAAAGGGCTTTTTCCCTCTCCTTATCCTTCTCGCCAGCTCGCACGTCCCTTTCGTCGCTCTCTGGCTCTAGCGCTCGCGCGGTAAGCGCAGACAGAACATCAAAGGATCTCTGCTACCCAACGACCTGCTTCCACCCGCTTGCAAAGTTCCCGCATAATCGCACGGGAAGAGTGCCGAAGAGGTTGGTGCCACCTCTTCTTGACTAGATAAGAGACGGAGGCAAGCCGCGGTAACGAGGTCATAGACGGTGCGTCGCGTCGGCGACGACGGGGGGTGGTGGGGAGGGAGAGAGAAACGATGACAAGGTAAAGTTATCTTTGATGCCGGAAGGATTACACTTTGCCATCCAACGCGCGGGAATGGAGTGGTCCGCGCCGGATTAACGACCATGAAAGACTCTCCCTACGGGGAATATGCGCGCGAATTGGATTATCTTGGCAGAAACGTGTACCGAGGCGCAATTAATTATTATCCGTTGGACCTTTATCCCTGTGAATCGAATCGTATATTATTCGCAGAGCAGCGAATTTCTCAAAGGAAATAACAACAAACAACCTCATGGTTGTTCAGCTTAATACCATATTCGCCGATATATTTCTCATTCAAAGGCGGGTTAAGCGCACCTGCCGTGTGGGTGCCTCCATTGGTTTCTTTCATGCCACTTCTGATATTCTTGAGAGAAATCGATTTCTAGAGCAGGTAGCTGTCCAACAGACACTCATATAGGTTTTTCAGAAACGGGAATAACCATTCTCGAGGGGACGCTCGCGGGGTCGTCTTTCACGATCTTTTTTTTTACGATCGCCCATGACGGGGCACCCGCTGCACAGGACGGCGAGAGCAGAGCCTGGTCGCAAAAACGACCGGTACCGAGGTCGTAGGTATATACGATATCTGATGCAGAAAACCGGTAAAGGCCGCGGGGCTACAGAAAGAGCGAAGCAGGGAGAAGCCGAACGAGCCAGGCGAACCGAAGGCAAAGACACGATCGTGGGGGCAGCGCGGCACATTGTCTTCGGGTGACTTAAAAATCCAACTCGTGCCTCGTTAAACACGCTATCAGATACAACCGCAAAGGATAGACCCTCGCCGAGGGAGAACACGACGTGTGCCCATGTCCCGGTCCCTTTCACGGAAGATTCTCCTTCTTACTACACTCCCCCGATACTCCACCTTCGCCAACTCGCCCACGTAACCTTGCAGCTCCCGCTCCCAGCCTTCGCCTCGGTTGAGTCGTCCGGTAGCATAATATGTGCTAAGCGTGGGTCCGATGGGATGGGCGAAAATTTAGCGAAGCGAATGCGCATCACGCGGCAATTTGTTGTTCTGTCCGTGTATACTAAGTACGCTTTGTATCCCCGCGGGTGGTAATTATTTATATGTTTACAGATAATTCAGGCAAGCAAATTTTCTGTCTTTCAAATAATTTATTATAATGTGCTGGTTAAAGTATTAATATTTTTATAATTACTTTGAAAATAATATAATATAATATAATTGAATATGTAATTATTAATTTTCAAATAAATTATTAATGATATATAGGTAATATACATATTCCACGAAAAATTGTATGTGTACATCTATGAAAATTATCTTTTATGTTTCATTTAATATGTTGTTGATAGGTGTAATAATTTCTATAGCACTCTAGTTTTACTTTCGAATATTTGTCAAGTTTTCGTGACACTTGAAATATACGAGTAGGCATTTTTAATGCTGAAGTCACGACACGCGTACTGACTCTCGTAGATTTGTGGGACAAATGCACGCTATGTTAATTGTAACATGAATGAAACAGAATGAGTCATCCACTCGTAATCTGTATCAGACAATTTCTTATGCACAGGGGGATAAAAAATAACCTGCGAACAAATAAATATTCTCTTCCTGTTAAACGCGACAAGTCACGCTATTAATTTCGTAATTTCCGAAGATTTACAAACGTTTTATGTATACCAATTTGCACGCCAATTAAAATAAACATGAAGAGCTTGAATGCTCTTAGATTTTTTTCTGTTAAATCAACGATATATTTATGTGTATTTCAGGACTGAATGGAGAATTATACTACGTCAGGGACGGCGTCGTAAACAAGTATGCTATGGGGTTCGTTGTTCCTGTACCAGCGTTAATTCACAAGCTCCACTTCACATGGGAAAATCTCGCTGGTAGACCGGTAAGTTCGTGTAATAAAATAATATGGACATTAAAATTTTAACGCTGGCGCATAATTGTACAGACTGCGTCGTAAAAAGCGCATCAGTAGTAAAGATATATATATAGTGAAGGTTTAAATGGAAAGATATATAGCTATGCGATTGTTGAGCAGCGTGCCTTGAAAGTCCGACAATTTGATTTGCATTAATTGTATCGGATGGCTCTCGTAAAGAGCAGAAATTTGACTTTAAAACGAGTTAATCATGAAATATTTAGAGCAGAAGGCGTCTCTCGGACTTTTATTAAGAGCCCGGTTGAGGTGTTACGCAAGAGCAAGTGCAAAAAGATGCGAGGGAATAGAATTTAAAGCGAGCAGACAGCGCGGTGACCGAGGACCGGAATTATCCATGCGCGAGACATTTACGTGCACAAGATTCTCGACGAGTGTCTTCTTATTTATGTCTATGTCCGTTCCTCTGACTTTTCCACCGTTCCACCCGCGCGCCTCTCTTTGCGCTCCTTGCGCCGGGATTAAAGTCGCGCCCGCGGCTGAGAAATGCTGAAATTGCTCGTTAACGTAGGAATTCGCGTCACCGCACGTAAGACACTTCAAGAGACGAACGGATCTCATCCGGCGAACCTCAGCGTTTTTCAGGGTTCAGCGATCACACCGTCCAGCCATTCGAGACCTTTAGCCGATCTTTATTCGCGTTTCTCTCGTGTCCTTACAGCGCATCGTACTTATCGGGATTATTGAGGCATATCGTGCTTTTCAGTTTTTTTTTCGAGTTCTCTGCAGCGCGTCGCAATGGCGTAGTCATCTCAGGAGCAAATACGGGACGTTCAATTAATCTTAGCGAAGCACGATGGAAATTACATGACGTATTCGTTTATCGGGAATTAATTAATTGTCTCGAGATTCCTTATCACGTTTTAATTAAAACTCGTATTTCCCTTCCTCGACTCGCACGTCTCGACGATTCTTCCTTTTATTTTCGTCGCATACATTTGTTAATATTACTAAGAGCCTGCCTATCGACTTCTCCTACTTTATGTTCTAAAATAACCAACGGGCATCCTACCGTGCGAATTAATTTTATGTTACTCTTAATGTAACGACGCGGCGAACGCCGCGTGATAGTTATGACGGTGAGAATCGCGCAGCTGCATATTCATGTGGGACATAAAATCGAAACCAGACTCCGTGTGTGTGTCTCTCTCTCTCTCTCTCTCTCTCTCTCTCTCTCTCTCTCTCTCGTCCATGCCAATTTCGCGTAGCATCGTTCTCAATCCCATTGCATACTTTGAAAGCGTTTTAGTGATATCACAGTGATTTCATTGCTCCAATATCATCGATAGAGTAAAAGTCTGTTGGCGACTCTGGCGCGCGAATTCGTCGTAATGCACCCACATGGTAATCGCGCGAGCGCTCGTTTCGGATCCGAGTCATCCAACGAACGCATAAATCTGGCGAAGCGATGACGGGAACATAAATCTCAGTCGACACAAACGACCTCTTCGTAATGAGCACGGGCAGCATTTAAAAAAGTATGATGAAATATGAGCTAAAATTATTCGTAATGCACAAACATATAACAGATTTATGTTAATCCAATATGCGAAACTGACGCGACGACCATTTATTCCGAGTTAATTAATCTGTCGGATAATAATATATTGTTCTTTTTCGGTTTCATCTGATATTAATCGTGATTTATAAATAGTTGCAGCTTTGATTGTGAAATACGGGCAGTTATTTTTTTGCTACTAAACATGCTTAATATTTTCTATTATTATAACTTTACTTATTACGTTGGTTGGATAATTTTTATATGAGAAAAAGCTTTCTTTTCTCTGTGTTTATAAAACTGAC